AAGCTGGACTCTATGAAGAGGAATGTGGCACCAAGATTGTAGGAAGACTCACTAATAACTTGTGTTATGCAAATGACATAATCCTTCTTGCTGAAAGTGAAGAGGACTTGAAGCCCTTGTTGCAGAAGATTAAAGAATACAGCCTTCACTATGGATTGCATCTCAACATTAAGCAAACACCCCAGTAGTAATAACAAAGTTATCAGGACAGCAAATAATAAATGTCCGAGAGTATGTGGAGATATTATAATTTTCATACATTGTTGGTGGGACTGTAAAATGGTACAACTACTATGGAAGGCAATTGGCATTTCCTCAAAAGCTGAACACAAAAATTCCATATGGCCAGCTATTTCACTGCTGGGAATATATCCCAAGAAAAATAGAACTGAGAAACAAACAGATTTGTACTCCAATGTTCAAAGGCAGCATGATTCACAATAGCAAGAAAATGGAAACAGTTCAAATGTCCATCAACAAACTAAAAGATTATAGAGCTCTGGTGGCCTTGTGGAAAGATGATGCACTGCAGTCTTAAATTATGCTGTTCGAATCCACCAGATGCTCCTCTGGAGAAGGAGGGGAAATCTTGTCCTGTGCCAGTCGGATGAGATTCGAGGTCAAACAACTAAAACAAACAAACAAACAAACAAACAAACAAACAAACCAAACCCTAAAAGATTGAGCAATTGTGGTACATTCACACAATGGAGTACCATGCAGCACTTAGGAGCAACGATGATTTCGAAAAACACTATACAAATAACGTGGGCGAGGCTGGAGAGCACTATATGGAGTGAATTAACGTCATCTCATAAAGACAAACGCTACATAAGACCATTATCATAAAAACAGAGGGATAACTAGTACAATGTGTATAAAGTGGGGAAAGGGAAGGTTCAGCAGGGTTGAGGGTGGGAGGTGGGGAAATTATGGGGTTGCAGAGCTTGGTGGGCAGAGGGAGTGAGTGAAGGAATTAGGAAAGGTCCAGTGGGAAACTGAAAAGATGGGGTAATAGTGGGCATAAGTCAGTGGTGATTCATTTTCTAAAACACAACAACAAAATTGAAAGACTGTCACCCTAGAGAACCCTATGGTTCTACTCTGACACATGAGGTCACTGTTGATGTTGTGTGCAGTCCAGTCAGAATGGACCCATAGCTGACCCTCCTGCTGGATTTCAGAGGCAGTTGATCACACCGGAGGAGAGTGCCTAGCTTTCTCCTGCCAAGCAGCTGGTGGATTAGAACACATGCCTTTAGGTTGGCAGCACAGCATGTTAACACTAGGTCACTAGAGCTCCCTGGTTCCACTCTCTCACATGAGGTCACTCCAAGCAAAAAATCCCTGACAACATGTTCCTTTACTACTGGCTTCTGTGCTTAAGTTATTCATTAAAACTAAGTGTTGACCATAGACCTTGTGGCCAACAAAGAATAAAGTGAATTTCCATTTGCAACAACAGCACACAGGTTTTAAACAGCAACATCTATAATCATATTATATATCTCTCTGGTAATTTTGTTCTAGTAGTTGTGCACTGTACCTGCATATAGTGTAATTAAGTATTCTGAGAACTAAGTACTAAAGTACTAAATACTGCTCTAAAATCCGATAAAAGCATTAAAGAAATAAAATGGTATATTTGCAGAAAGATATCCATAAGTTTATGGATGTATTCTGAAGCTAGTTTCAAACCTGACAAGTTAGTATTTCATGAAAATGTGCTTTTGGTGATAGTTCTTCATGAGATTAAGAATTTATTATCCCAACAAGGCCTCATTCACAAAGGAAGATGTGGTCCACACTGAAAGCACCTTGTGGGACAGACAGTTTAAAGTCAGGGAGCTATCACTTCTGCTTCTTCACCTGGCTGAGCCCTTTCAAACATGGCCTCTCCAGCTAAAGGCTTCAGTCACTTATCCTTAAGGTAAGTCAAACACAAGGCTCTGAAATGAGTACCTTAAACATCAAGTTCCAGCAAGGCTTAGCAAATTTCAAAAGATATTTAGGGGTGTGAGTGCATGTTATTGTAGTTACGTATCTGCCGAGCCTCAGAGAAAGAATTAATCAATTTTGGCCTGATTGCAAAGAAATCCTTTATTATCATTGGAATGAAAGCCGTGACTATGGGAGCACAATTAGTATTAACAACAGTCCATTCTACAGCTTGAGATCTCCTAAGCCTACTTACAATCTGGACTATAACTGCTGTTGTTGTTGTTATTGTGTACAGACAAATCGGTTCTGATGCATAGCTGATGCTCTGGTGGGTTTCCAGAGGCAGTGAATCTCACAAGAGGAGATAATCCATCTTTCTCCCATGGAGCAGTTGGTGGATTAGAACCATGTGCCTTCAGGGTTGCAGCACTGCTTCTTTTCACTCGGACATGAGAGTTCCCGGCCTATCACCAGCAGTCCTATATATTGCCTATATTTTTGCCTGCTTCTGAATTTAATTTGGAAGTATATAGGATGTTGCATTTCCCAGTGGCATATTTTAAAATTAAACCATTACCAAAACCAAAATTTACATTACAAAGATATGTGGTGTTTTTTCTACAATGTACTGATGTTTGTAGATATATAAAGCAGGCTGTATTTTTATTTATCCAGAGAGAATTTCCTTAGAGCTAGTCTTCAAGTACAGACAAGAAACCACAGCAAGATTTTAGGGTTGGAAGGTGCTGAAGGACATGAATCAAGCCAGGGAGCCCAGATCTGTCTCTGCAGGCCAGGACCCTGTCTAGCTATGAGCCTTCATCAAGTCTCAGGGCTGTGCGTGCACGTTTGGGGTTGAGGGGGTGGAAAGGAGATGAGGCACACCAGGAGACAGAAAATGAAAACCAACACCAGTGATGCAAAATCTGCCTACATAGCTTCCCCGTGCTTCCATCTCATCCAACTGTGGACATACATCCAGTCACCAGTTAGAACCTGTTTGGGCATGACAGCCTCTAGCGTAGACTTTCTGCAAAATTTCCAAAGATGCTGCCAACATTTGCTTTCCAAGAGGACTGAGCACAGCCTAGAAATTGGCAGGCAAATGATTCCTCCAGAATGAATTCATGTAGGGGAAAGGTCACTCTGACATTGCATTTTCTCCACTCTCTTTCTCCTTCAGGAAGATCATGGGTTAAATTAAAGGGCACTGTTTGTTTGATACTAGTCAGGGTCAGAGAAGCAGAAAGTTTATGGACAAGTCACTCCCAACTGGATGCCACTCGTAAATGTATCACTGTGCCAATGTACACTAATAAGTGTAGAAATGTACCATTTATCATTGAAGCCTGGCACTGCTAAAGAAAGATGCCATGAAGAAAGCCAGTGAGCAAGAGCAGATATTACTTTAATACAGCTGATATATATTCACTTACATGTATTCTAAGTTTCCTGAGTTCAAGCTGAATAAGGGGGGGTTTCACTTCATTGCCAAGTTGACTGAAGCAGCTTCTCACTGCTCTACATCAGTAACAACTGATTATACACTGGGCAGCTGAGTTTCTTTCAAAGTTATCTTCCATTCCAGTTTTCAAAACAGGAAGCACTCCCACATCTGAACATCAAGCACTGCCAGTTCCAATTTTTCATAATTCAATACAACAGGTGAAGTTTTCAGGGTCCCATACAACAGCTGTAGTTACCTGTGAATGTCTTCATTTTACCACCACTACACACAATCTGTGTCTAGAGTTGTACACAGTTGAGGCAGAATGTGAGGAGGGCATTATGTTTTGCCATGTGACCTGTGGCAACCTCTTTTCTTCATACGTTCTGTCGAGTCACTTGCAACTCATAGCGACCCTATGTACAACAGCCTTGAAACTGTCTCTAGCCTGTGCCAATTTTACTGCCTCCAACGTACCCACCCTCATTACCCCAGTCACTGAATCAATCCATCTCATTGGGCATCTCATTCTCTTTGTCCATCCCTCCATCCTTCCAAGCATGATGTCCCTCTCCAAGGACTGGTCCCTTCTTTGAACATGCCAAAAGTATGTCAGACAAAGCCTCAGAATCCTGGCCTCCAAGGAGCAAGCTGACTTGACCCTCTTGAGGATGACCTGTTTGTTCTCCTAGCAGTCCATGGTATATGTGATTTTTGGTGTCTTAATTGCTGCTGGAATAAAAGCGGTTTGAACCCTAGGCATTCAAATATAGGTGAATGGGCTATCACTGCCAACCCATTCTAACTCTAAAAAAAATGAGGAAGAAAAAAAATGAGCATTTATATGAGGATGTATATGGGGGATTTCTGCAGATAATAAAACCCTTCCATCGCTGATAAAAGTTACATGCTACATATCAGGCTGCTAAGGAAAGGTTTGTGGTTTAAATCCACCAGCTGCTCTGTGGACAAAGATGAAGCAGTCTACTCCCAGAAACCTGAGCAAGCAGTGGACTGACTGAAGTTTCTGTTTTCGTGTCCCACCCCACATCTCACACCCTGGACAGCCGCAGCAGGGGCGCTAGTGGGACAGTGGATGAGCACTCAGTTGCAAACCAAAAGACCAGCACTTTGAACCCACCAGTCAACCCACAGGGAAGGTGTGGAAGTTTGCCTCCATAAAGGTTTACAGTCTTGGAAATCCTGTGGAGCTGTTTTACTCTGTCCTATGTAGTCACTATGGGCATGTTGCTAGACGTCGGTCTTTGGATAGGGACATCAAGCTTGGAAAGGTGGAGAACAGATGAAAAAGAAGAGCATCACCCACATGGACTGACACAGTGACTGCAACAATGGGCTCAAATATGTCAGAAATTATAAGGATGGCACAGGATAGGAAAGGGTTCAGGTCTGTTGTTCATTTAGAGTTGCTGTACTCGACCTGATGGCACCTAACAACAACAACAACATATGGCCACCATGAGGCAGAATCAATTTGATGGCAACAGAGGAGGTCAAGGCACAACTGAAGCAGCGTATGCATCACAGGTCGGCAGTCTGAAACACACCACCAGAACAGCACGAAGTGAAGCGTGCATCCCTTTGCACTTACCTGACCATGGGGCGGAAGCGCAGCGTAAGCCATGGGCTGGTTCATCACTCCCTTCTGCTTCATGAGAAGCATGCGTTTCTGCTCCTCACTCAGGTGCGCCCTGGGAGCCTGGAGGTGCGGCGGAGGCGGCTGCTGCTGCTGCTGTTGCTGTTGTTGTTGTTGCTGTTGCTGCTGCTGGAGATAGGGCATCAGGGGGTTTTTGTTGGGGTTGGCCATTGGTGGTGTCATTCTCTGACTCAAGTCCGCGTTAAAATGGGTCAGAGGCTTAGTGTTGCCATATGTAAGAATATTGTGCTGCTTGTTTAAAGAGTTTGTACCCAAGTTATTTGGCTGCTGATTGATCATATTCATGTGATTCTGAGGGAGGTAGTTATTCATTGTTGTCTTCTGCAGGTTGTTTGCCATTGAAGGCACTATAGGGTTTTGGTTGTTAAAGGCTTGGGGGTACATCATTGGGCTATTTGGTTTTTCTGCAGGAAAGGTGGCTCCATATGGACTGGACGGAGGCCCTAAGGGCGACCAGCTTGCAGTCTGATTTGGGTGTTGCGGCTGCTGTTGCTGTTGCTGCTGTTGCTGTTGTTGATGCTGCTGCTGCTGTTGTTGCTGTTGTTGCTGCTTCTGCTGCTGTTGCTGCTGCTGCATGAGCTTGGCCCTCTGCTGTTGCTGTGCAGCCATCTGTTTGAGCTGCTCAGCTGGAGACATGTCAGCACTGGGCACGGCCATGGGGCCTGACCCGGACCCTGCCACGGTCACTGCTGTGGGATTAAGAAGATAGCCATTTCCCGGCCGCGGGGGAGCCTGGCCTGGTGTGTGGGCTTGGTTTGGAGTTTGAGGGGACTGGACAGCACAGTTTGCTGGTGAGCTGGTGGGGTTTGGAGCTGCAGGAGTGCTGGCAACAGATGGTAAACTAGCGGCCGTGGAGACTGTGGAAAAGGGAGGACCAGAAGAAGAAGGCCTCGCCTGAGGGGATCCCAAGGAGACGTGTGCAAAGGGAGAGTGAGAGGGGTCACTCTTCACACTCGCACTCTCCTGGGAGAGAGGGGTCTCAGTCGCTGGCCGGGAGAATTCGGGCTCCTTCTTCTCCTCAAAATCTTCATTGAACAGGTCCTGTATGTCATCTTCTGGAACTGTGTTAGCCAATTCATCTATTAATTCTTGCCACTCCTGATCATTCAGGTTAATGTCTGAGAACAGCTTGTTCTGATTCGAGAGAGATGTTTCTGATGTGTCTATGCAAGTAGGGTCATCCAGAGGTTCTTGTTTAAGGTCCTTGCTCTGCAAGATGGTGAAGCTGTCTTCCAAGTCACTGCAGCCATTGACAGGAAGTTTAATCTCTGGGAGTCTCCCATTCTTACCCAGGTCTTCTAGAAGCCCAGGAGTGTGAGCCCCACTATTCTGCAAGGGCAGAGAAGGCTTCAGGTCAAGCTGGTGAAGAGGAGAAGCTGAAGGCAGTGGCATGTTGTTGGGCAAACTGTTGAGAGTGTCCATCCCAGCAGGAACATCCTTTCGAATCCGCTTACTAGTCGGAGAAAAACTCCCATCACAGGCACCATTCTGCTGGTCTCCGTTGAGCGGCGAGCGGGCCCCTTCCAACTTCCTTTTCACAGTCTCTTGTAGCTGTAAAACGAAAAACAAAGAAAGACGATAACTAAGTCTCTAACTCATATTCTACTCATTAAGCAGCCTGATAAGTATTGCTATGAACTAGTTTACTTTTCTAATTGTGTTGGAACACACAGAAATTATGTTTCTACTTTCAAAATCAGGTTCTATCTAATGGTGAATCTTCTAGGGCTTAGAGACAGAAGACACACTAAAACTTGGAGAACAGGAAACAAAAGGAAAACAGACAAAGACAATAATCCACTCCTGGAGAATTATCCATTGTTTTCCTAGCAAAATGAATGCTAGTTATTCAACTCAGATCAGCAGTATCATAGGCAAGAGCGGTATTAAACTTATCTCAAAGTTTTCACACATACTAAATGAGAATATCAAGAAATTACGTCAATAATATCTTAAAGAACATAATTTCACAGTTAGAAAATTTTAAAAATGCAAAATTTAACAAATCTAGTGAGTAGCACAGAAATGAAGATTATCATAATATTTAACGTCACCCCAAACAGTTTTGCTTACTTGATCTCCAAGCACCTTTGGATACAGCACCACACAATTCCAAAAGCACTTGGCTTCGAAGTATGACAGCTCTGAGATTTCCTCCACTTTTCTCTATCTGGTCTTTTTATAGTGTTTTACATACTCCTCTTTGTGTGTCCTCCATGATAGGGTACCCACTCCACTTGCTAAACTAGACAAATTCATTGTTTGCAATTGCTTTTGAACCTTTTCTAGGTTGCTTAGCCCCAAACATGTAGCAAACCCAGTATCTTCTGCTGTCTTTACTCACGCCAATGTTCTTCTCTGGGTAATCACGAATATCTGAAAAACTTCCTGTTTCAATGCTGAACTTATTCCCTCGCTACTTGATCTGCACCGATGTTCCCTATCTCAGTTATTCTTCATTTATTCAAGTCAGAAATCTGAGCATTTTGTTTTAAACAATTTTCCATTACCAATCTCCAAGTCCTATGGATTGCCTCCAAAATATCATTTACACACCCCCACGCACTCATCTCCACCCTCCCGCCACTTGCCTAGACCAGACTATCATTATCTTGTGCTGAACTCTTGCAGTGGTCTGCTAACTAGTCTCCTGGACTTGCTTCCATCCACCCAACCATTGACACTTGTACCTTACTGTTTTGCTCTTTAGCAACTATTCTCTATACCATGACTTTTTTATAAAAATAGACTGCCCTTCCTGTTTATAATCCTGTACGGAATCCCATGGCCTTAGATGAAAGTTCAGTCCGAGCCTACTTCACCTGGTTCCTGCTCATCTTCTTGGCCTCCTTAAGTGCTTCTCGGTAACTTCTTCCCACTGCCAATTTCATGTTCTAGGAACTCTCTTGCAACTCTGTTCCTTAAACGTGTCCACCCTCCTTCTGCTTCCCAAGGCTTTGTACATGTTGTATCCTTATCTTGGAACATGCGCTTCGCCCCTCCCTCTCTCGCTTCCCTGGTGAACCACTACTCATCTTTCAGGTCAGAGTTTAGATTTCACTTCCTCGAGGAAGTTTCCTCTTATGTGTATCTCCTTTCTGGATAGCACTATTCTTGTTTGTTTGTTTGTTTTTAAACAAACGAAAAATGTTTCCATTTTCTTCCATTCTTACACATTTTCTTCTCCTCTCTCCTCCCCACCCCACTTCTCTGAGCCCTCCCTGCAGTGCACCCCTTGTTCCCGATTGTTGTCATACATGTACTGTTCTTCTCCTCATCTGATCTAATGCCGTGTTCATTATCTATCCATTCTTTTCCCATTCTCTCCCCAACCCTGCCATGTCTGTCCTATTTTATAACAATGGTGGATGGCACTATTCTTGACCCACTTATACTACTGGGTTGGCAATCCCAGAATATGCATTTTCAAAAAACCTGTATATTCTACTGTCAGTTTGAGGACTAAGATGCATCTGTTTCAGGCCATGGTCTTTCTGATCATTTACTATGCAACTAAGAGCTGGACAATGAAGAAGGATGACAGAAGAATTGATGCCTTTGAGCTGTGGTGTTGGAGAAGAGTACTGAACATGCCATGGAGGGCCAAAAGAACAAAGAAATATGGAGAAAGTACAGCCAGAGTGCTCTTTGGAGGCAAGGATAATAAAGCTTTGCCTCATATACTTCAGGCAAGTTGCTAGAAGGGGCTATTCCTTGGAGAGGGACATAATGCTCATAAAGGCAGAGGGTGGGCAAAGGAGAGGAAGATTCTCAACCAGGTGGATTGACACAGTGACTGCCACAATAGCCTCTAATGTGTCAGGAAGTGTCAGGATGGCACAGTATAGGACCGGGTTCAGATCTGTTGTTCATAGGGTTGCTACGGATCACACCCAACGTGGCCTCACAACAACAATAACAACAATATGTCCCAATTTGTTTTTAATATTATTTTTAGGACAATTGCTTAAATGTTTGTTTAGCAAACACCAAGAAGTTAGGGGCGATGGCTGCTTTGCATACTGTTTTGAAGGACCACACTTAGTGCTCATGGCACACATAGTGGTTCATAGCAATGAAATACTTGCATTAGTCACTAAATTAGTCATTAAATACCTGCAAAGTGAATAAATAAATGTATCGTTTACTTCATAGGCGCTGAAAGAGATGCGGTTAAATCAGAGCAAGAGATAGCTCTACTGATCAGAAGAATCCCTATCTTTGGCATTCCCTGTCTTCCAACAAACAAAGGAATATCTGACTTTGGCACTCTGTGTTTTCAGCAAATGAGGATGATTGGATTTCACGGTCTAAAAGTGTTATATGGATTTAATGGAATGTGTATAAGAAGTCCAGTTCAGAAAGTCCTTACTAGCCTAGGGTTCTATAACTATAATCTCAATTCATCCATCTACATCCTTCCTTTCCGCCAAAGTGTCAGTGTAGATCTAAATGTAAAGCCTAAAGACTAGTAAAGGGGGAAAAGGGGCAAATTCAGCAGTTTCAATCTATAGTACAAATAGACTATCAAATATAAAAAAAAAAAAAAGCACAAACAGCTGAAGATCAAGTAAGTGACAGAAATCTTCTAAAAATTAAATTCTTTGTGCACTAAAACTCTTCTTTAAAAGAGCAAAGAGAGAACAGACAATCTAGAAGTATTTGGTAATGGCATATCTGACAAGGGACTAATGTAAAAATAAAAAAAAAATACTTCAACACTGCAACCAAAAAAAGATGACAAATAACTCAATCATAAAATGGAAGAGGACATGAAAAGAGACTTCCTCAAAGAAGACATTCAAATGGCCTACAAACACAGTAAGAAATGTTCAAGATTATTAGCTATTCGTTATGACTACGCAGTGGGAACTGACTCATAGCTGACCCTCTTTCAGGTTTCCAAAGCAGTAGATCACATGGATGGAAGGAGACTGCTCCTCTTTCTCCAAAAGACACACAGATGGATCTGACCACCAGACAGGTGCTATCTTTGGGTTGACGGTACAACTCTCTATAGACAATGCATCCTGGGCGCCCTACTAATTATTAAAGAGATGCACATAAAACCAACAATGAGATCTCATCTAATCACAACAACAGTTTTAATAAAACAGAAAACTACAAAGGATGGGGAGGGCATGAAGAGGACATGGAAGGGATGTATAACAACTCTTTTTTCCCCTCCCCCCCTTTTTTATTAGTATTAATGAAAGTTTACAGAGACTTTGGATTTCCGTTCATTCATTGTTGCACTTTTTTCCCGGCCCACCCCTTCCCCCCAGTTCGCTCTTCTCTTTGAAAAGTAAAAGAAAAATTCTTTCATTGTTATACAATCCCTTCCCTCAAGTCCACTATACCATGCAGCCTTCATTCTGGACTCCTGTTATGACAATAATACTCACTTATATATCTCTTTTAAACAGTTCTCTCCCTCATCTGTTTCAATGCAGTATACATGATTATTTATCTCCTTTCTCAGTCTTCCCTCAACCGTGATGTCAATCCTGACTTAAAACAGTGGCCCTATGCAATATTTGTCCTTTTGTGACTGAGATTATTTCACTCAGCATAATGTGCTCCAGGGCCACCCATTTTGTATAATATTTCATGAGTTTTTTGTTATTCAATGCAGTATAATATTCCATTGTGTGAATATACCAGAGGTTCTCTATCCATTTGTTTATTGATGGGCACTTGGGTTGTTTCCAAATCTTTGCTATTGTGAACAAAGCCTCAATAAACATGGGTGTGAGATATATATATATATAAAATAATAACTGTAACACGAACAGATAGATGCACACTCATGTTTATTGCAGCACTATTTACAATAGTAAAAAGATGAAAACAGCCCAACTATCCAATGGATAAAGAAACAATGACGCATACACACAATGGAATGTTATGCAACACTAAAAAAATATTGAAGAATTTGAGAAATATCACCTAATATGGATGAACTTGCAAAGATATTATGTTGAATAATATAAGCAAGTTACAAAGACACAAATGTGGAGTAAATCCACTATTATAAGTTGAAGAAAAAGTTGTATACAGAAAGTAACATTTTTTGATGGTTACCAGAGATGGAGGAAAGGGAGACGGCAGGGGAAAAAAAATCATTAAGTATGTAATAGACACATCAAGATGGATAAAAGAAAGGCAATAATAAGATGATCAACACAGTATCACAAAACAAAGGGTAGTTACAGTGAGGTACACAAGAAATAACAGTCCACAAAGGCAAACACTATTGTATTCATAATATTGCACTATCTACAATAATAAGCACTCACTGACTAGGGCATATACAAACAGACAAGCAAGATGCATGGATAGGGGCAGGGGAAAGGGATCGATCACACACGTGACCACACATGGATTTGGCAGATTGCATTTATACATTCATGTTAGTATATGTTGTAAATATATCAGTGTATCTAGCAGAGCCAACAGGGGGCAAAGTTAGGTAAGCTTCTTAACTAAGTACCCCGAGAGCATGGATGGTCAGTCCTAGGGAGTGCACTGCTTCGAGCTCTAGTGGTATC